CTCGATTGGCCGTGGCCATATTCAGTCCTGTGCAACCTGACCTGACCTGACCTGACCTAAACTGACCTAACTGACCTAGAGCTGAAGGTCATCTTCTAGGTGGGAGATTGATTTCAACGAGGCACGTTGTGTTTGCTTACTGTTAGATGTCGAATTTCGTTTTGTTTTCTAGAATTTCTGTTTACCATAAATCACCATTTAATCTGGTAAGAATGTCGTTTGCAGTTTTTCCCAGATTCGCCGTCATGTTAATTTATTTACATCCTTTGTTGCTGTGGAAACAGTCCCTGCAACATTAGGCAATTGCATGGTCATGTACAGGTTCTGGTGTGTACATGGCAAACTGAAATAAGTACTGGCTACCGTATGCAGTATGGAGGAAAATTGACAAAAGAAAGCCTATTTTCAATACCCTGAACATTTTTTGAATCTAGTACATGTATATATGGGATTCGAGAATAAATTCAAGATGCAAACATGGAATTCCTCTGCTCATGAGATGGTTGCATTTTTCTCAACATTGTCATGTGAGCGTACCGTGATAAATAGTTTGTTTGGGCAACCACTTAAGTGGCGGCCCAAGTCTGATACCTAGGTATGTTTCGTTTGAATGCTTATCACTTAATTACAACCTCATAATTCAGACATCCGAAACAAATCGCAGAGCACAGTGCTTAAATTTAGTCACGCAACCCTCCACGTAGGAAGACCTTTTAAGAGAGGGGTACCTTGTACCATATTCTCATCACTGAATTACGCCCATAATTTGAGGTTGAAGTACTTAACCTATAAGGCTCGCACTGTGTATGGCGAGAATTGTCGTATGTTAGCCAAACTATGAATTAATTAGGAAATCCGGAGCTGTAAAAGTGTAATTGGTGGGGAAATCTGGCTTCGATGTTTTAACCGGCAAATCTCATGAAATCATGTTAGCATATAAGCTTTTGCAAAATAGCACAACTTAATAGTCACAAGCGTGTTTGATCGACTGAAACTTCTCTAATTCCTTCATCTCTGATGAAAGACTGGGAATGCTATAAAAAATCAGCTTTCTTTAGCACACTTCTTTCACTTACAGTATCCGCGGTGTGTAGCGCAATTTATTGCTTCACTCCACTATGAAACGAAAATATCTGTTAGTTGGGAGATGAACTAATGCTTTGGCTTCATAAAGCGTATATTGTCTTACCTTGAACTAAAATTGGTTTGGCATTCTGGTAACAAGCAGTTCAGTATTAATTTTTATTTGCACGTTCATCTAGCTTGGCAGGCTCATTTGCAATTTATTTAATTGTTTCTGCCAGGAAACCTATAATTCGCGTTTGCCATAATTGTTATTTGTTTCACACTTTTCATTTCATGTTACAGTTACAACTTGTTGGTCTCTTTCAAAAGTACACACGTTGGTGTCCATAATGACAGAAGTCACAGAACTCGAACCTTTTGAGTCTGAGCTGTTGGCAATTCATCACTTGGATGAAAGCGCTTTGACGCGATTGGAGCAAGAAGTCGGTCTGGGTGGTGGTGGATCGTGGTGGATCGACCCCAGTCAAACTCCGGTGGAGCTTGATGCTCATGGTGAACTTGACGAGGGTGCCATTGTGGATGTGGAAGCCCAAGTGCGTGTGTGGCTTCGGCACTCTTTTGACAAAAATCCCACTTTCCGGGACCATAATTATCACCTACTAAATCGGTTGAATGAATTAGCTCGACTTCAAGGGTTGGTTGAGCAGGCTCAACTGCAGCAGTCTATGGACCTGAGTGATGGAGCTCGTGAACAACTGTATCACTCCACTTTGTCTTTGCATTCACAGGCCGTGCCCAATTTGGGCGCCTCATATGATCTGACGAATCCAACACCGGGTCTGCATCATTTTGATGTTCATCGAAGCTTAGAAGGCTCGTTATCACAGCAACAACAGTATGCACAAATGGGTTACAAATATGGCCCGTACAGTCAAGGCTGGTCATCGGACACCCGTCACGGATCTGTTTCTGGCTATGATAGTCCATCTAGAGAAAATAACGGCTTTGCTCCTTATTTGGTTGGGGGTTCACTGTATGAATCAACACTTGGTAATGGTAGACTTGATGCAAAGCCTTCCGGAATGCCTCAGGTACACCGAAATCCCAAATACTTACCGAGTAATCCGGCATATGGCCTTCGAAAACGACCATCTTTTACTGGCGTGATGGGTCGCCTACCGTTGCCGGATGCAACTAGTAGCCCCGACAGGTCCCACGATCGTCGTAAGTCATTACTTTCGAGGACTTATTCGAAGGAACAATTAGATGCCTTG